TTTAGAAACCAATTAAACGTTAACAAGTAAACTTTTTACATGCAAAATCATTGTTCTTCCGATATCTGATTTCTTTTTAATTATAGGAAATGTGTTTTCCTAAGGTACATCAACTTTTGGGATTGACTTTGTAGCCAATACATCCTTAAACTAATTTTATGTAGTGTTTACTTTCACAATTATAAAATGAAATTAGTTGGTAGAATTGAATAAATCAATTGCCAACAGATTAATAAAGAGAATTTTCAAATCGATTAAAATTGCAGGGTGAAAAGTTCTCGAGACACACGGGTCAATACAGCAGCCTTCCGAGGCCCAGCAACTGTACGAAGAGAGGCGTTGCATTCGGTAAGGCAAGCTTAACAGCTCGCTCAGGGCAAACAGGGACGAGAGTAATCACTGTTCCGTTCACTGTCAGGGAGAGATGTCTATCCGCGCCCACTCTAGGTTCATATATGCCTAAACGTATTAAGTATTCGGCATGAGAACGCAACCCTGCATGACAAATCCCGATCTAAAAATTCATCAACAGTCACTAAACTTCAGAGAATTTCTGTTTGATCTTCAATTAACCATTACTTATCGTTCATTGGAAATTCTATTGGAAATTGAGAAGATCCACTGAATGGCAGTTTTAAATACAACTTATTTCCAATTTCAATCAAACTTGATTGAACTATAAATGGAAACGTTGATCGGTAGAATAGCTGATTGGGAATTAATTCGTAGCTGACGAGGAGAAGACTATAATCAACGACAATGCGCTTCAACCGGAGATAAAGCCACTTGTAGAGCTTTCCATGGAGGAGATAGGAGACTGGCTAGGAAGCCTGAGCTTGGAATGCTACGTCGGTGAACTGAGAAGGTGGGGAGCGACCGGAGCCAAGCTTCTAGACTCCACGCCTCAGCAATTGGAGAAGGAATTGGAAATCAAGAACGTTTTGCATCGAAAGAAGCTGCTCTACGCTATCGAGTCTGAAAAGAACGACGGAGCCGAGTTCCTTGGGTCTGACAAGGTTCGCCTCGTCTACTGAAATTTATTCATCGAATCTAATTCTGATTTATTAAACGATTTATTATAATAGATGGATAATGCTACGGTTTTGAGATGGCTCGATGATATCGGACTGCCTCAGCATAAAGAGGCTTTCCTCAATGGGAAGGTCGATGGCAGAATGCTTCATCGGTTGACTACCGAAGACCTCTTTACGTTAGGAGTCACCGCGCAGTTACACGCGGCCAGCTTAAGAAGAGGAATTCAAGTACGCATTCTCGAATTTCTTACAACTACAATTCGTAATATACAAGTCTTAGAAAGTTCTGTAATATACAGTGTATACAGGGTGTCCCACGTAACACTTCACGATTTTTCAAGTACTTGCGATAATCTGACAAAAAATATTTTTAACAGAAGTCAATCAGTTTTCAATTAGCTATACATTGCAAGAAAAAAGTTGCAAAGAAAATTTTTTTCACTATTATTAAGATTACCTTCATTTTTTTTAAGTGGCACTTTGTATTTTTGGCTTAACAGTATTATAGCCCGTATCAAGATGAATTCAATGACCTAGATACCATGACCTTCGGATGACCTTAAAGGCAAAGAAATTCAGTTAGTAAGTAAATTACGAGTTTTAATACAAGTTATTATCACCCATTCAAACAGGCTATCATTTTTTGTCCAAATTTTCTTGTTATCTATACCTGAGTTCCCGAGAGTCTAGGAGCGTTTCGCGCAGCTTGGAAGGTGGTGGGGGTCGCAGCGAACCCAGCGCAGTACGATCAAAAACTGAACTGTGCCCGCTCCTAGATTCTCGGGAACTCAGGTATAGGCATAGAGATATTATAGATAGAGTACAGATGCCATAGACTCGCCTGTAAGTGGAATTGATACGCTGTTAGAAAGAAAACGAAGTAGAAATTTACTACCTCTTTTTGTTTAACAGCAGCAGAGCACATGCTCTGCATGCATACAGCGTACGTATTATGGCCTATTCCCATTGCGATTTCCGACTCCGGAATCCGGCTCAGAGCCGGCGAGCGAAATTTTGGCGCCGAGCCCCTAAAAAATGGGGAAGCAGTACCGTAGCGCAAACTGCGAGGTATATAGGGAATAGCGTGTAAGAAAAAATATTGCTGGGTGTCGTTCAAGGGGCCCTGCTGGGTCCGAGAGCGGCGAACCAATTTTCTTTCCAACTTTTTTTCTTGCAATGTATAGCTAATTGAAAACTGATTGACTTCTGTTAAAAATATTTTTTGTCAGATTATCGCAAGTACTCGAAAAATCGTGAAGTGTTACGTGGGACACCCTGTATATACGTAGTATGTTTGGGAATTCTTTCATCGTGATCGAAACAGGAATAGTATATTGTGCACCAAGGGCCGAAAGTGGGACTTTCCGGACGAGGTTGATGTTTGAGCACGAGTAGCAGTCAAAGGCGCCTACAGGCGCCCGAGATGACCACGAGCTGCTCAAATCATCGTTCGAGCCTGGAAAGGTGCATTCGGCCCGTGTCGCACACCATATTTTTTATAAAAAAGGGCATAAAGAAGACCATCTTTCGTCGCTTGTAAGGCGGATCGAGAATATAGTTTTTGATCCTCCGGGCGCGAAATTCGGTTTCTCGTGCATGTTTAGCGGGCGCAAAATAGCACATGCGACTCACGTTTGCGGTTGGCTTCTGTACTCTATGTATACTATCTCTATGGGTATAGGTCGTTGAATTCGTCTTGATACGGGCTATAATACTGTTAAGTCAAAAATACAAAGTGCCACTTAAAAAAAATGAAGTATAATATGATAATAGTAAAAAGATTTTCTTTCCAACTTTTTTTCTTGCAATGTATAGCTAATTGAAAACTGATTGACTTCTGTTAAAAATATTTTTTGTCAGATTATCGCAAGTACTCGAA